TTCATCAAATAAACAAACATGAAAACATTCGGATAAATTTTTATCTCAAATACCGAATATAATTTTTTTACGTTAATAATAATAATAATAATAATAATAATAATAATAAAAAGAATAAAAGAATAAAAGCTCTATGCAAATTTTTAGGAATTGTGTGATGGAATTGCCGACGCCGTCCGAAATGTTAGTTACACGATGTTTATTTGTGCTAAAATATACGACATCACAGTAAATTACGATCCTTAAAAAATTTTTTTTAAAAAAAAATCAAATACGGCGACCACTAGAGATTACTCGGCTTTTTTTTTTTTATCTATCTTTTACCTGCTCATTCGTAAGTTTTTTTTATGGCAATATCGGTTAAAATATTCTCGCTTCGTGCCTTATCCCGCAAATTATCACAATGGTGCATAGCAATGTAATATTTATTATGTTGACTTGATAACGATCCCAACCCAAAGGATCGTAAACCATAGATCATTTTCAATAACCAAATTCCAATGCTAACTACGTGCGGATAATTAATCAGATTAAGCCAATTTATTGAATTACGATAAGACAAATTGTCGGAACGAAACGAAGAAATAAAAGTGAGACTAAAGCGTAGGAATGAAAAAACGAAGGTGAAACTAAGGATCGTACATATTTTTGATTGAAGGATTGAATATGCGTATGCATTTTTCTTACTGTATATCATAAAAAAAAAAAAAGGACAAATCGATAAAATTTTTCTACCATATACTGTAGTTGTAATAAAAGGGATGGTGAGAAGGAAATGACCCAAGCGTCACACGAAAGCGAACATGACAAAAATTATAGGTTCCCAAGGAGTGGGTTAATAAAGAAACGAATAAGATCACACGGTTGGTTGTTAAATAGGATAGAACATCACAATATGTGGGTTTTTGGTGAAGACCGAGAAACAAATCATCTTTCATACACAGCTCTTGTGGTGTTCTGCTCTTTTAGTTTCTGCTGTGCAAGCCTAGTTGTGGCAGCATCACATATGTGATTTTCTCTGTTACAATGAACAAAAGGGGATGTTATTAAAGAATATATCTTTCTTTTTAACTTCTTCCTAATCAAAAATTACCCTCAGATCTTTTCTGAATGCTCTCGTTTACTAGCTGCGCACGATATTGATAGTCTTGTATCACGTGTGTTAGCAACGTTTTCCATAATAACGAAGCGGCATAACAAATAACGGAAGGATGGGTCTCGTTAAGAAGTATCTTTACTTCATCACTCAAAAAAGTTCTAAAGATATGTTGGGCCATACACCTTGAATCAGGACGAGATAATCGTTTACTCTCTCTAAACTTGCGAATAACATCGTTGGGATCTGGAACTCGGGCGCGTAATGTTATTCGTAAGATATTATTTTCTCTGATAGCGTTTACTCTAGAATAAAATTCTCTACTATCAATAGGCGTCGACATGTTTACATAAATATCAATAAACAGTTTGTCGTTTTTTCAAAAAGAGTAAATAACAAAGGTAGAAAATTACCAGTTAATACTTCTTAAATAATTTTTTGGTGACTATCCAGATCGCACAACAGAAGATAGTATGAAGTGCGACATCAAGAAAATCTCGTATTGGTGCTTCTAAAGATAAAAAAAACAAACAATAAAATCGCTTCTGAATAAATATATACTGTATGTACTGTATATACAGTATATAAAATAAAAATAAATGAGTACTGAGAATATAGTTTGCTTCTGCAAAGCAATGACTACAATTTTCCCAAAAAGATTCAGGGGAATATTTTTTTAACCGAGCCTTTTATATTATTCCTGTCGTCATCAAAGGATATTTTAATTGGTGTCAATGCGCATCGCCACACAATGATGATTACTCGCGTCGTCGGCGTCATTAAAATTGTTTCGAACACAAAATTAAAAAAAAATCATTGCTATTTGTCGCAATATTATACGGAATTACGTGTCATTGAAGGTGAGTTACTGTATCTCTTAAGCTAAGACCGGTCGCTTCTCGAAATTTGTGCATGCTAACATGAAACGTCCGAATTGCGCGCAAAGGGAGCGGCTTGCACGAAAATTATTTGTTAAACGATAAGCATCAATTACTAAAGCGATTAAAAATCTATGACCATGATTTAAATAAATGTTGTACGCTATTCTTACCACGTACAGTATATGCACTTAAGTACTCGTGGTCTTCTATCCTATTCGTACAAATATTCTTGCTCGTAAAATGTTTTTGCCAAGTAATTCCATAATTAGTGTAACCAATTGTCATTTCGTATCCATGGCAATAACATCGTAAATCGAAAATTATTTGTTCGCGGCTAAATATAAAAATATACATGGGCGCCTGTTCGGTGGGCGTATATAAAAGAAAGAAAAAAATTTTTGGTTCAATCTAAAAAGGCAATCAATTCAATCAACAGGGAATATACGCTTTGTTACACCTGCACGTGTACATTCATATAATTTTCCATTGTCTTAACTGCAGCACGTACTACTAACATGCTTTACACAACGGTGCGGTATACGAGTATATCGAAATTTATTAGCCCCCTGCATAAGTTTATTGTAAATTAAATGACGATTAAAATGACAATTTTTGACGTTTCGATGGTACAGTACACGTGTATGTAATTAAAGTTAAACATTCAATCAAATTAGTTAAGTATTCTAACTCGATTTTTAATAGCATTTAAACTCATCAATGAGGGAGGAGTCGACGTGCATGGTTATGTCATGAATCGAAAAACAAGTCCTAAAATTAATGCTCAATCCGGTTAGCACTCGGCTACTAATAGACAATGGAGGGTCGTGGAAAACCGCCATTCTTATGGTGCGGGTAAATCTGTAATGAATAAAAGCAAATTAGCCAATTACAGTATACGAGGTCATCGATTGATGAAGCAATAAAGTAAGCACTTGCATTTATTAATTCGTTCCACACCTCGGACCCTCGGACCTTATTTATTTATTTTATTTTTGCAATCATGTATATCATCGTGAGAGACTTTTTAATCACGTTGGAATTCATGCAGAACACATGAACTTAAAATTGCTATTGGTATTAAAAAAAAAAAAAGTTATTCGCAACCTTCATTAACACAAAGTAATATGTATGACCCAATTATCCGAATCCCAATAACCATCTCTTTATTACAAACTGGTTTGAATTGATATTTTTCACGATTTAATGCAACTATTGCGCCTTGTCACGTGAAAAAAATTTTAATAGAAAGCCAACCCGAGAATAAGTTGTCAAAAAAAAAAAAAAAAAAGGAGAAGTAAAAGAAAGGAAAGGAAGAAATCCTATTACCATTTGACTCAAACAATGTGTCAACATTTTCTTCTAATTAATACTATTAAATTTCAATTGCTATTGATAAAATTTACCATTCCTCTTTCATAATCTGTTCTGCTAATACCTTTGATTGCAGAATTTTCACAATCCTCCAGACAATTGCCCATAGATTTTTCCATGGAGTTCAAATCATTGACTTCTTAGTGGCCAGTCCATAATGATGAAACATTTTTTCTTGAGGAAAATTACTTCTCACCCGACTTGTATGTTTGGGGTTGTTCTATTAGAGACATCAACGAGTGTCTAGCATCTGAGGTACATTTTTTTTTGTCAACATACATTTCACCAATAATTGTCTCCTGAAAGTAATAAATATTAATTATTGCTATGGCACAAAAATCATCCCAAGCCTCATCTAGAAATTAATCCTTCGAAATATAACGTACCATTTGCAATTCTGTTAACAATAATGTCCCAGGAGAAGTTTCTTAAAAATTTCATTATCGGCCAAGTGCCACGAGATTGTGCTGTAGCACGATTTCTGAGAAGAGCCTGCTGGATTTCCCCTAATAATTTGACCAAGTTATTGTAAAGCCTCTACATTGAATTTTTTAGGGTGACCTGATCATTTCTAATGGACCAGTGTACCATTCTTGCACGACTTGCCAGGTTATGTGAAATAATATATTGGTAATATGCTGTATTTCGGAGAATTCCATTACTTCTCATCTCCACAAATATAATAGTGTGTTTTCTTTGTGATGGTCAATATCGCTCTATAGTAAAAATAAAAAAAAAAAAACAAAAACAAAAACAAAAAACAAAAAGAGGTTACGTATATGTTATAAATTGACGTAATCGTGCGACTTTAAATTTCAGGGTACATTTATGTTTATGTAGTACAATCCCCAATCCCCAAAAGATGGTGTTAGTGTTATGTGTAAAGATCGACGGGCTCAGCCTACATGATTGGATCACACGAAAGATCAGATAGAGACTATAGTAATAATGTATAATAGTCGGCGATACCCTGCCTATATTTGTGTGAAAATTTCCGAACACATGATTACCGCGACAACATTTTATACAGTACGTGTTGTTCTTAAATAATCGTTGATTATTCTTGATCTCATTTCAAGATTACCTCATTGTTTAATTATTCAGACGGCATCTTTCAATGCACCAATTAAAAGAAACCTCACAATGACTAGTAACCTTATTTTTTTAATTGGGAAGTATTCATTTAATGGCATGTCACCTTCCCACTTGTGTAGACGTATGATTCTTCCTCATCGAAACCCCCACGGTAAAGGACTTTCCAAATAATCGTTGAATCAAATGAGGTGCTGCCGGCGATTTTAAGGAGGGATAATAAAAGTATGAGCTTGGTATTTAACATCGTTTATTGCCACGCTTAAAATTAAATTGCCAAATCTGCTTATTTATAATTAAATTATGTCTTTATTATAAATTTCGAATAAAACTAATTAAAGTATATTTGTTCTACGAAAAATTGAATTTTATGGAGAGGAAAAAAAAAAACGAAAGCGAAACGAAAACGAAAGTGAAACGAAATAAAATTAATAGAAAATTTGTCTATCTTAATGCCCTTATAATTACTAAACACCATGATGGATAACATTTATATGCGAGAGCAAGTTGCTTCACTATATAAAGTCATCATCTTTGAATTTATTAACAGGTATTTGGAACTACACTCGACCAAGTCTTCTTTTCGGTATATTTGCGCTTACCATTTGCGCACAAGTCCTATAGTCTTGTTTTGTGTGTTGAGGGGCCCTCTTCCATAACATCGTAGCGGCTCTATTCAGGACATCGATACTTGTCTCGTTTAAAAGTAACTTCGCCTCATTACATAAAGTAATGGAGAAAGCATTATATGCTACAAATTTTAAATCATCGCGAAAGGATCTCCCATTTTTTCTGATCGTGTGAATGACCATGTTGGGATTTGGTGCTTGGTGGTATAATCTTGCTTGCAATGCGTTGCTCTCCAAGATCACATTAATCCTGTCAAGAAATTCGGTTCTATTCATAATTGAGGGCATATTGTTATAATGTTTTTTTTTTTAATTTATTTATTTAATTTTTTTTTTTTTTTTTTAAAAAAAAAAAAAAAAAATCTTAACATAATTTAAAGAAATTCTGAAAAAAGAGGTCATCTTTTTATAATGTTTTTTCTTTTTTTTCTTTTTTCTTTCTTTCTTTTTTTTTTTTTTTGTCCTTTTCCTTTTTTGGCGAACCAGTACAATTCCTTAGGGCACGCAGGTTTTGTCCACAAAATAAAATAAATGAATATCAAAGCGCACCGTGAGCAAACGACTCTAGTATTACCTGTACAAAACAAACAAGCATTGCGAATATTGACCTATAAAATTAATAAAATTAATAAGCAATATATACGAACGAATTAAAATCAAGAATGATTTGACGCGTAGCGGATTTGTCGAAAAAAAAAAAAAAAATCTGCTCCTTTTCTCAAGAAGTTTTTATCTTTTTTTTTGCCATTAAAGCACCCAACATTTTCTTTGTCTAAAATAACTCTCACGATTGGTGTGAAAACAAGTATTACAAGATGATAATGTTTGCTTATGTCGAATGCTGAAACAAAATAGAAAAAAAAATTAATGAATTTGTACAAAATTCATCCAGTGACCCATATTTGATAATTTTTTGCAATATGGTTGCTAGAAACCGCGTATGATTTGTTCTCGAGGTTTCGCACGCAGTCCGCACTCCCGAATTGTGCAATCTAATAATTTATATAATCGAAATTTTTTCGTCCGGAAATTATTTGTTAAACATTAAGTAACCAATTGTAAAGGGTAGCGGTCAAATAGATGTCGTTGTTTGATAAAAGCATATGGTTTGGATCAACTGTTTAAATCCATACAAATATATTTAGATATATATATCAATTACGTAATTCTTATTGTTACAATGTTTATTAATGTTTATGCCAATGTAAATGGTTCGTTAAATGTCATTTAGATAGAAAGTCACAGTGGATATTATGTGAATCATCAAGGATTAAATGAATACGCATGGAAATTAAATCATTCGTCTATCGAGAAGTACGATTACAAATTTCATGAACAAATTAAATAGTCTCACGCCAAAAAAAAAAATAATGATGATGATAGATCAAACATCTATTTTTGTGTGTGGTTTGATTAAGGTTTCCACTGCTACCATTAAGATCACACAGTGATCTCGCATCACTTTCAATTTGCATTGTTAAATTAAGTGTCGCAAGTTCATTGTTATGAAATGTAATACACAAAATATAATATATCTAAATTAGGTATCATAAAAGCGCAAGTGATCTCCATTGTATTTTGTTTATAAATGGTATATACTATATCATATACTGTATACTGTATCTTAGATTAAACTTTCTACAAAATATTTATATTTATATAAATAATACAATTCTCTTTTATTTTATTAATATAGATTTTTTTTCATTCTTATTTTATTCTTATTTTATTTATTATCCCATTAATTATTTTATTTTTATTGTTATCTTTTTTAATCTAATCTAATCTTGATTTATTTAACTAAATTATTTTTTTTTCTACTTTTTATTTATCTATTTTATTTTGTTAAATATTTTTATAATTGTTTTATTTTTATGCTTATTTTTTATTTTATTTATCTATTATATCTTATATTTCAAATTATTATTATTATAATATATTATACCAATAATTTTTATAATTACAAATAATTTTAATAAAAATAAATTAAAATATTATTCTTTATATTGAATTTAAAAAAAAATTTAACTTTAACAAAAACAAATTAATATATATTTATATATATATATTTATATAATAAAAATAAATTATATTAAATTAAATAAATTAATAAAAATAACTTAAAAACTCTTTCTGTTGATCCTCTGACCACACACAAAAAAGATGTTTGCAAGAAGTTTTTATACTTCTTTGCTAAT